GGTCCAGGGACCTGCCTAATGAAGGGCCACGGTGGGGTCCCGAAGCCAAAGCAGTATTTGTGTTTAATGGGTCTATATAATGGTATAAAAGCAGTTATGTTTTGAAAAAGATCTATGTAATAAAAAGGTGGTAATATAATAAAATTAGAAAATATTTTCTGAGAATTGGCATGTTTAAATCACACCGAAAGATAAAAAAAAACCTCATCGCATAATCAATATCAATATACTCAACACATTTATTATTATAAAACAAAAAAAAACTATTCTTCTTCCTCCTCTTCCTCTTCCTATTATTCTTCTTCTACTACTTCTTCTTGACTCATTTTGTATACTGAAAATAAGAGTACTAGGCCTATTTTACTACATGGCTAAAAAAGCACAAATATTGTCATTACTACTGACAGGGCCATCGTTAAACTAAGTCAGAGCCAAAAATGTAGCATCATATTCAATACGCCATCTGACATCATGAGAACCTAAACTTTAATTACAATTATGTTATATACTATGCCTAATTCGAAATTATTATTTTGAGACTTTAACAATACATACTGAATAATAATAGCTGAGATTTGATGCACATTTCAGAATTAATAATCGTTTTTAGTATATCTTACTGAATAGACCCCTATTTATTGTCTACCAAATGAAATATGAATTATATGCATCTTCAGAAATACAATTTCTACAAGATTAATCTTGTTTTTATATAGGTAAATGTTCGATAAATTCTATCTTTCATAAAAAAAAAAAAAAAAAAACGAAATTCAGTGGGTCTATTTTCATTCTAGTCAATGGCGTTTGTAAACGTGGACTGATGTCATCGTCGAATCCCAGGACTTTCGACGGTAAAGCTGGCCTGCCTGCCTATAGTTCCCATGCCAACCAATAATAATTAACAAAATGTATTTTTTTAATATAGGCCTATGGCGCATCCTGTACATGCACTTCAACTTTTACAACAAAAGCCTAGGCCTCCTGTAGTACGTCGTACTGTACTTAGGCCTACACTAGTTTGTTGTCGTCGAAGTATAATCTGTCTCTAAATGAACGAGGAGCGAACCTAGCTAGTCAACATCTAGAAATCAATAACCCACCTTAAAGGACTATCTGTCGTTTTCTTCTTTGCAACAGCGGACGAAAAAAGTCAGTTATTCTTCGACGTTTCATGATTCTTTATCACTAAAAATTAACAAATACTCGTTTTGACGCACTCCCTTCTGTAGTGTGTGTCTGCTGTTCAAAACAAACTTCCTAGCCTAATTTTGTGACTGGCTATGATGACTGAGATGGACCATGTTGATTTATTAATAATATTTTGTTTGGGATGGAAAAAAAGGAGAGTCAATTTCCCCAAAATGCTCCATCAGCACATAGTTTAGTGTGCGCTATGGACAGTATGACTATGGAATTTACTAACCACACAATCCACTATCAGGTGATTAAGTCGCAAAACTTTATCTGCATTTGGTGGATTAAGTTGCAAAACTTTAGCTTCGTTTGGTGGCACCATTTACTCTAGGTAAACGGCGACCGGTTTCTTTACCGATGGAACATTTCTTACAAACATTCAGCCAAAGGCCAGTGAAAGTTGAGACGGCAGCCGGGTTTTTATCGATGTTTGCCATCCTTATGTGTGCCATCGTAAAATAGTTTGCTGGAGTTGCGTTCAATTTAAATCTCCGAACTTCTGAAGCTGAGATATTCTATGAATATAGGTTTATATCGCAGGCTACAATTTAAAAACGGGTGACCAAATAATGAATTAGGTGCTAAATTTTGATATTATGCTGGGTAAATTAAAAACAAACATTCCTTTCGAGTGGGACTCATTCAAAAAGTCGAGGGGGTTCGCTAGAAAACAGGGGGGTTCGCTAGAAAAGGGGGGTTCGCACGAACCATATAAAACCCCTGGCTACGGGCCTGCCTGTGTGCTGTTGATTTTCACTTAAGTGTTATTAAAGCCATGGTACACTGTGAAATACTTCAATAGATATCGGCTTGCTGACAAGATACGTTGAATATGGCGTGAAATCTTTCCGACATAAGCTACACTTAGGGTTTGTTAGTTTCCAATCGCAGTTGGTTGTTTGTTGAATAAAATATAAGACATTTCAAAAGACGTCAGCATTCATTCTTTCCAGATTTCGTTTGATACTTAGTGTTTCTTGCATAAACATTTCGTTTCAAAGTCTGTTAGATTTCACGAAAATCTTCAAAAAGTTCGTCCAACTTAGACTTGTTGAAAAGCTTCGCTGACATGGAAACACACTCGGTGGTGATTCTTCTAGCAGTTTTCCAGTTACATTTGATGTACCACACAGGGCTCTTTATAACCGTGTATCTTCCTGTTCTTCATAAATGAAATAGCAAAAAACCTTATCTACACGGCTACTGTATGTGCTGACAAGTGTACATGACTGTTAGCAGTGAAGGTCTTGATAGCATACTACTGTGGGATAAAAATTGGATGATGGAATTCAACCCAGAAAATGACAATTTATAAGTATCAAAGATAACCTTGCCCATGTAGAATGTACCAAGTACCTGCAATTATAATCACCAAGGACCTCAGATGGAAAAAATAATGAACAACATTACAGTCAACGCAACATAGATATTAAAAGCCAAAAATTCAAAGAGCTAGCCAGCACTTGTCTGACTATGTGTATAAGTGAAGTAAAATTTATATGAAAACAAAAGTATAGTTTGTGATTCTCATTCAAATGTTCTAGAAAGAAAAGTAGAAAAGATTCAACACCGTTCTGAAGGTTCACCCACAACAGATATAAACTACGACTGCAGTGTTGCCGCCAATTCACTAATGTCATAGAAATTCCTACCTGAAATTCACCATACTCTCCACCAAAGGTGTTTAGATGCCAAGTCTAACTGCAAAAAGAAGATTTTTTTTTTTTTTTTTTTTTTTTGTATAACAAGATATGGATTTTGTTTGAAATCTTCTTGAAAGACTGCCTGCATCTTTGTTTATTTTTTCTACTCGTAGGAATGTTCAAGATGTATACATTTCTTTCTTTCTTTCTATTTATCTGACTAGTTGAATATCATTCGTTGAGAATAGTTGAATATCATTTTAAAAAAAAACATAATTTTGCAATTTTGCTACTTCATGCGTGTACTCCATCTATTACTTCTTATACCTGCCAAGCCACATAAAAAAATACAATGCTACGTTAACTAGAGCAGTGGCTACAGTGCATACCTCCGCCCTGTGCCTGGATAACCAAACAATATATAGATGGGCGATTCCAATATTTTCCACCCTGTGCCTAAATTACAACCGAGTACTGAGAGTCTGGGTACATATTTTAGAAAATATATAGAGGTAGCATTATAAGTCTAAAATTTGTTCTTCACAATAACGGTTCATTCTAAGTAGGACAAAAATGAAAGTTGATGCCAGTAAATATTCAGAACACTGAAAACGCATGCAATATAATAACTTTGTCATTATTACTATTGTCAAAATGGCTCATAAACTCGTTATTATTGATCTAAATATGAGATAATGAAACCAACCATTTGAATATTTTTATGTCCAAAAATGTATATTAACGCAATTAGTATTGTTATTTAAGTAACGAAACTACGGAAACATAAATAGTTTGGAACATGATGAGAGAACCGAATAAAAAAATATAGTGCAACTCAGGAAACAAGTGCTAAAATAGGCAGAAACTAATGATGACAGGCCCTATGGCATATAGTTGTTTTTTTCTGATCAGTGCTTGGTCCAAATTTGTGTGTAAATATTAATCCCAGTAACATTTACTTAAAATATTATGTCTTTGTGAAATATCACTACATTATATATATA